ACACAATAATTAAATATCTTAACTTTAACAACGTATAAGTTTAGGGGCATCCGCTACAAAATATCGCTAGTTTCCATACAAAAAAAATTATTTGTCTTAAAGTATGGTAGTTTCAGGTCCTTTGCATTTAAAATAAATTAACACTTTTGTTTATTTCTAATAGACCTATCAAGAACTGCTCTGTTTTTTAATTAAATATGTATAGTTGGCAATACAGTCTTTACCATAAGGCCACACGGGGCCCGTGCCCAGGGCCCCCATTCTCAGGGGCCCCGAAGGACCGACAATTTCTCTCACACATTTATTCTTAAAACATTTTTGTCGGGCACTTTACACTTTTTTTACAAATCAGTAATCTTATCTGAAGGTATTTTTTACAAGGCATATACTACGCCATTATATCGATGACTGCGCCTATTCCTAGTGTACTAACATGGAGGGTAGAGGTAAGGAGTACCGTCTCTGTGTGTAAAAAGTGTCCGTTAAAATCTGCTAAATAAGGGTGGCGCTGCAGTAGCAACAGGGTAAGTTTAAAAAAAGGCGCTGAAAGTTATTACGATGTCTCCACGTTTTATCACAGTAGATAATAATTTTAGGTTATATTGATGAAATTAGTTTGGAAGCCGTTATCGTAATCGTAACCAAAAAACCAGCAGCATTCTAATATCATTAATGACATATTAAATCATACTGTATTTGATTACCTTTATTAAATGGTCATACTCAGTAAAAAAATGTTATTAAAATTCGCTCTTTTTACTTTCCAAAAGGGCCCCAAATTCTTGTGTGCCCAAGGGCCCCAGCCTAGTTTAAGACGTCCCTGATAGTTGGATAAGAATAGTGTTATTCTAATTAGAGGAGACTAGCCTCACCCGGAAAATGCCGAAGACCGGGAAAAGTGGAGGATTTTAAGTAGGAAGGCGGACCCTAGCATTTTTTTTTTATTTTTTTTATTGCCCGACATCGATAAGCGTAGACAAGTTTTTAGCTTAAAATACGTCATTTACATCAGTGCGCAGTTTTCTACTTCCGAAATTCCATTCGATGTCTTATTATAAATCTCTAAGGCGCAAAGATTCGGTTTTGTTTTTCGCGATTATTACTGGTTTACGAACCGTCCAAAAAATCCAAGCTAACCATAGGAACATTGAAAAAGAAAACGCCATTCTGAATGCGTCTTTTAAAAGACCAGTATCCAAGTCAGTCACGTAGAGGAATCATCGCAGTGAGACATTTATTTATATAATACTTATAACGGGCAAACGTTATTATAATAATCACATATAATAAAATGACACATCTAACGCTTGGCACGGTTTCAGAGTGAGTGACGAAAAATTAAAAAAAAAAAACGCTCTAAAAAAAATATTCAAATACTTTTGTACTGAGTCATTTTATTACGCGAACTCATGTTATTTCAAGTATATTAATATAGTTTATTGACTTAGATAATTCCGTGTATTTATTTCGGGTCTTGTAATTTTGTAATTGTCAGTCTAAAACTGAAGCGAGTTCACAATACGTACAGAGGATCTCGTGTTAGTCTTGTGCTTCTTAGACTGAAGATAAGACGTCCGGTGCATTCGTGTTGAGCGATGCACGGGGTGTTCGAATCCCGCAGGCGTGTACCAATTTTTCTAATGAAATACGTACTCAACAAATGTTCACGATTGACTTCCACGGTGAAGGAATAACATCGTGTAACAAAAATCAAACCCGCAAAATTATAATTTGCGTAATTACTGGTGGTAGGACGTATTGTGAGTCCGCGCGCATAGGTACCACTGCCCTGCCTATTTGCCGTGAAGCAGTAATGCGTTTCGGTTTGAAGGGTGGAGCTGACGTTATAACTATACCTATATTTTTGATAGAGTAGAGTTTTAGTAATTAAAGACGGCAGGTCAAGCGATGGCGGACATCATTAGATTAAGCAGCCCAGTTTTATGCCAAAACTCATTCATCTGATGTTTCTGGAACATTTCACGGATTGGACATCTTCCGGAATGTTTATTTGATTCACGGTTTTAATGCGCGTAAATTGGATTTATGATTCGTGTTAGTTTTAGTAAATCTCCTTGTTTTCATATGTTTTCGCATGGGCTATATTTTAGCTCTTAATATGGCAACGTCACACAATACCGAGCTGGATAACTAGGAGGGAAACATGAAAAAGAATATAATCGCAATAAACCACGCAAAATTAATCCGTAAAAGTTATTTCAATTAGGAAGATTAACTTAGAGAGATATTTTTTTTCGATTACTCTTTCAAGAAGCACACACCATGACACTTAAGAAATGCTATGAAGCTGGATAGTGTAAATGAAAAATATGGTCTGGTACCGTGCGGGAAAGGAATGAATAGAAACTATCATTACTTATCATTACTCTTACTGGTGGTAGGGTGTCCTGTGAGCATGTATAGGTAGATACCACCAACCTTCCTATTTCTGCCGTGAAGCAGTAATGCGTTTCGGTTTGAGGGGTGGGGCAGCTGTCAGCAAAAACTCAGATTTAGAACTCTTATCCCAAGGTGGCATTAGCAGATGTCTATAGGTGAACACTTAACACCTCTTAATTATCTTACCTCTTTTAAATATCGAAGTTTTTTAATTTTTTTATGGTTAGATGGGTGGACGAGCTCACAGCCCACCTGGTGTTAAGTGGTTACTGGAGCCCATAGACATCTACAACGTAAATGCGCCACCCACCTTGAGATATGAGCTCTAAGGTCTCAGTATAGTTACAACGGCTGCCCCACCTTCGAAACCGAAAGGCATTACTGCTTCACGGCAGGAATAGGCGGGGCGGTGGTGCATACCCGTGTGGACTCACAAGAGGTCTACCACCAGTAATTTTTGATTTTTAATTAAAATTTTTGAGGGCATCTTTCCATCTACATTGTTGTCTTCCTCTATTTCTTTTTTTTATATCTTGGACACCTTTCTGTCTCGTTTTTGGCTCATTTTTCTGTTTAATCTGCTGTTCTTGTCAACAGTTATTGTACAGTTGTTGTATTATGTATTTTATAACTATGGTCTTTGTCTTTTTTCTTATTTTTTTAAATCGTATTTAATCTTTTAATTTTGTAAGCGTACTACATGAAGAGCTTTTTAAACTTACACTCTCATAATTCCGCTATTTTCTCCAACAACATCGCAGCAAAAGTAGACTCTATTGCTTCTTAATATTCCTCTTCACTACATATTTGAGAGGCTTACTACTGGGAGGAATGGGGGGTGCGGTCGTCCCTTTAGGAATCCATCCAATCCACTCACAGTTCTGGTGACAGTATCCACATTACATTTGTCTTAAAGTATGGTAGTTTCAGGTTCCTGGGGTGTACTTTGCATTTAAAATAAATTAACACTTTTGTTTATTTCTAATAGACTTTTAATTAAATATGTATAGTTGTATCAGGATAAGAATAGTGTTATTCTAATTAGAGGAGACTAACCTCACCCGGAAAATGCCGAAGGCCCGGAAAAGTGGAGGAGCTTAAGTAGGAAGGCGGACCCTAGCATTTTTATTTTTTTTATTGCCCGACGAGCATACGGTCCACCTGATGGTGAGTGGTTACCGTCGCCCATGGACTTCACCAATACGAGAGTCAAGCCGCTGCCTACCGTTAAGTACTCCTCACGAGCCTCGTTTGAAGAAGGACATGTCATAGCGCTCGGGAAACACCGTGGAGGGGAGCTCATTCCAAAGCCAGATGGTACGTGGTACCGGATGGTAAGGTCTGGTCCAGCAGCGATCGTTCCTTCCCAAAAAAATACCTTCCTCTACCTACTAATGAAAAGTGAATCTCGTTTCTTTTTACCACCGAACCTCCAAAGCAGAGTTCACCTTCTGTGAGTCTCGTAAGCTGAAGAACATACTAGAGTTCAACAGTTCCACCAGAAACCATTTTACATGCAGTGCAATACTTTTTCAGTGACTTGTCTTTCTACATATCGTCTTTTCGCATTAAAAATGTACAATTTCCTAAAATATTCAAAATTGAGTTAATATGCGGAATCATTTGGTATCACCAGTATTTTTCTCATAAATACTGTCAAAAGAGCGTAGTTTAGTTTTTTTGTTTTTTGTTTACCTATGTTTTAACTACTATTAACAAAATTAATACATAATTTTATCTTACTTTAAAAGACAGATAATGTAACTGGTAAAAAATAAAATATAAAATGTTGCAAAAATGATTAATATTAAAAATATCACATGTTAAACCTTTAAAACACTCTCCTGTAAAGTTAGTAACTTTTGAGATTATACAGTTTTAATGCGAGAAGACGATATGATGTTACTTTGATATGAACACCTTTCTAGCGTATGTAGTCGGGCTTTGTACTTACTGTCGGAGCTTTGCCGCCAAAGCTTTTGATGTGTCAATGATACGAAGAAGAATGAAAGTCGGCCACTGTAGATGAGATTTTCGTGATTTTTAATTATGTTCGCATTTAATTACTTATAAAAAAAGTTTAGCTTATTTTCTCAAATATTTTTAAGAAATAGAAAATGTAAGTATGAAACTTTTCTAAGCTCATCCCTTACGATAAGTAATAATGTACATGGTTAGAGTGCATTGCTGAAAAAAAATTTTTTTTTTATTAAAATTAATGCTCGTAACCCATGACATGAACTGAAAAATCACAAAGCCCTTCTCCGCAAAACAAATCCGTGTCTAACTATATAAGGTTTTACAGACAATATTTTATTAACTTGGTATGCATAGACCGGACACTTGAGTCCTGAGTTACTGAGGATTTAAGCCATGCAAAAACTAACATTCGCGAATGGCTATAATTACGACATCACCAAATAATTATTATTAAAAAAAAAACAGGTTTCTACTACGGTCCAGGAACTCTTAATAGACCAATAACGGACCATTAATTTATCGTCTCCTCCACCCGAAATAACCATCCTTCCGACATTCATAAAAGCACACGTAATTAATGAATTTTACAAAAATAATATTCATGTTTCAAAGTCGGACCAGTATTTAGTTTATTCCCGTGCGCCTTACAAGACGGTGCTATCTGGAAGTTATTTCAAAAAAAAAAAAAACAAAGTGTTTTTGAACAGTTAGTGTGCTCTGTGGTCGATAGTGAGTTTGAATATAAAATTGAAAAAAAAAAGAGTTATCAAAAATAAAATTTTATATGTTTTGTGTTTGTGAGTGCTACGCCGCTACGGGACTACGAGAGCGTAGAATAGCTACGTTCTTTTTTTTCTTTTAAAGCGTATAAAAAAAATTGTGATAATCATACGTGCGACATAAAAATTGTGTTCGTAAAATTAAGGCGGTCGTTTAAAATTTTACCCAAAAAAAAACATGCTTTTCTTTCGAAATTAGCCTCCAAAGACATTTAAATACCACCACCACCACCACCAACACCACTATGTACCACTTACACCACATAACTTCAAACGCTTTTTGTGTGATCGTTTAAAAAATTATGTACCGTATTTTTTCATAGCGGCTTTCATAACCGCACTAAAAGAAAGAATGTTACTGAAATGAGAAATGAAGCATTATCGCGCTAGACAAGTCGTAAATCTTGTTTTAAATTATTAAAAATTTATAAATTTCGACCTATTAATATCAAATTTATTTTGCGTATGTGGCGTAATCTAAGTCCATGCGAGTAAGAATAATTATCCCTTCTATTTCTGTCTCGAAGCGCGGTTTTAAGGGGGGGAGGGAGGGATAGTTATATAATTTACCAGGCTTTGTCTCAAGATGACTATAATAGATAGACTAGATAACTATACTTGAGACCTTTGAACTTATATCTCAAGGTGGGTGGCGCATTTACATTGTAGATGTCTATGGGCTCCAGTGACCACTTAACACCAGGTAGGTGATGTGAGCTCGTCCACCCATCTAAGCAATAAAAAAAAAGATGGATGAATGGATTTGATATACAAGTTCTGATGTCTACATTCTCTAGTATAGTCTATTTCTCGCAAGAAAAAATCTGAATGTGAATTATATAAAATTAGCTCACAATCTCTTCTCTGCTCTGAAATAAAAACTGAGCCCAATTACAACGCGACCTTACAGGATCTAATTAGAAATTTAAACCACCAAACACACCCAAAAAAATTCAACTACGCATTTCTGATATTTCAATTAATCTAAAGTTAGACTCAACCCACTGAGTTTCTCGCCGGATTTTCTCATTACTGGCGATTTCTATCCGGTGGTGTATCTACCAGCGGAGCACTGCTCTTGTTAGGGCTGATGTTAGCAAGTCCTTTTAGGTTGAGCCCCGTGAGCTTGTCCACCAGTCGGGTGAAGTCAGAACAACCCCTGGAGGCTGCCGTCAGATAAATATGCAAATAATAATTTGAAGCTAGTCTCTGATTACGAGAACTACGGAATAACAGAATGACGGATATTAGCTATAACAAACACGTAATTAAACTATAAAACGCTTTATATAATTTTGTAATTACGGAACTGAAAGAAATCTAAGAATATACCTTTATTTTTCACCGATTCTCAAAACTAAATATATCTTCAAATTAATTAATAAATAGTCTTAACTTTAGCAGGTTTCCCATTGACGCTTTGAAATTTTGATCAATTTATTAAAGACTCGAACTGAAATTTTATCGATGAGATATATCGGCAAGGGCTTAAAAATAACATAAAGGATATTGCCACACGGAGGTGTATACTAAATATTTTAATATTCCCGTTTCTATACCACTTCGGACTGTCCTAAAGTGATTTTAAATTTGAGTTGAAAAGCAGATCGATCGACTGTTATTTTTTTTTTTTTTTTTCTCCTACCTATTCTAGTAAGCTCGAGGGGTTATTCTAGATTCGCCAAGCTAGAGTAGGTGAGCTCACGGGGCTCAAGCCTGACGACGTTGTTAACGCGAACCCTAGCGAGAGCCGTGCTTCGCAGAATCTACCACCGGTCTTTGTGGGTTAATTTACTCGCCGAGTCCTTCATCGACGGGTTCGACGAGAACGATGACCGGTGCTTGAGGTACCTAAAAGCACAGTTACTGGATCCGGAAGAACGATCTCATGTGATGAGAGTCAACGTGAATAGGTAGACTGTTTTAATACAGCGATAAATATTGAGTACATATAGAAGTTCCGTACAATTTCCCGATAAAAAGTAGCATTGTTGCACCTATATCAGTAGACCGGGCGTCTTATCCTTTAGGCCACTTAAAACACGTAAGTAAAAGGTTATTAGGTTTAAGTGAAATTTGGCTTAATACGCGATATTTATCTTTGTAATTAAAGGCGCGTTTTATTTGGTATATTAGCATCAACAGTTCGATATTTTTAATTGAATTTAAATTAAGTTTACCCCATTGAAATAGCTGAAAAAGTTTTTTTGTTATGATTTTTTTTTTCAAATTCTTAACTTGGTATGGTTCTCTTGTAAAGTTACAAAAATATCGCTTAAGCCAAATACCTATCACCCCACGATATATAATATAACGTATGTACGTATCATTTATAATCCCTCGATCTCCATCTAAAGTTTTACGAATGTCGGAAACTTTTTAAAAGAACCATAAATATGTATTCTTTATTTCAATACAAACGTTACATTGAGAATTTATTGGATCAGTATATTATTATATTCCCTTGCGTGCATATCGTTGGAGCCAGAAATCCGTAATATATTTTTATATTTGAAGAAAATTATCTCTTCACTATGTTTTGATGATGTCGAAGACCGCCCACGGAACTGCTTATTTATGTTTAGCAGAATCTGGAAGAGATATGAAAATTGACATTGAAATAAAGTGAAGCTAATGTTGATGAGCAGTGCAATCATTCGCGTTGCCAAGCGGTAGGCAGCAGTTACTGCGCCCATGCTGTTGACGATGTCTTTGAGTGACGATGACCACATACGGTCAGTTGGGCCGTATGCTCGTCTGCTAATAAATTGCGCAAACTTATCAAATGGCGCTAAGACATACGTTTAGCCATGATGAGATTGCTGGGACCGGGATACAATCTGGTATGCCAAATTTAGTTTTATGAGTAGATTCTTCCGCACTTAGGTTGGTATGGCCATGTGATGAGGCGGAATGACAATGAGGTCGATAAGAGAGCTTTAACTATGAATGTGGAAGGCTTTAGAGGAAGAGGTAGACCTAAGAAAAATGCATGGATTGCGTGAAAGACGATATATGTAAGAGGGGAGTGAGCGAAGACATGGGATATGATAGAGGAGTACGGAAGAGGATAGCAAGTTGCGCCGAGCCCAGGTGAATGGGAGAAGGGTAGGAGAATGATGATGATGATAGGTAGACTCTTCCAATGTCCGACTCTTCCGATGTCCTCCAAGTGATTATAAAGAATGAATGGAAAGCTCAAGGAATAGAGAGAAAAAATTGTATTTGTGATACGGAGAAAGAAGACAGATTTTTTAAAGGTGGTGCCGTTCCTGTTTGGGAAGAGAGCCGCCGTTATATAATACAGTTGAGAAATCGACCTCATGTCTCAAGATGTATGACGAAATTCAAAATTCAAGTGGCCATCTCTATGGGATTCGGTAACCACTGAACTTCAAGTAGGCCGCAATGAAAAAAAAAACAAATCTGTAAGTCACTGGTAGAAGATGGACGTATGAATAAAAGGTTTTAAAAGTAAGAAAACGAGGTCAATTAACAGTCCCGGGACACGGACAAAAAGGCAATCATATCGAAAAGAAACAATTTGTCTAGCTGAGTCGGGTTATTCCAGACCAATAGAGTGTGTATATGTTTTTTTTATTGCTTAGTTGGGTGGACGACCTCACAGCCCACCTGGTGGTAAGTGACTACTGAAGCCCATAGACATCTACAACGTAAATGCGCCACCCACCTTGAGATATAAGTTCTAAGGTCTCAAGTATAGTTACAAAAGCTGCTCCACCCTTCAAACCGAAACGCATTACTGCTTTACGGCAGAAATAAGCAGGGTGGTGGTACCTACCCGTGCGGACTCACAGGAGGTCCTACCGTCAGTAATTACGCAAATTATAATTTTGCTGCTTTGATTTTTATTACACGATGTTATTCCTTCACCGTGGAAGTAAATCGTGAACATTTGTTGAGTACGTAATTCATTAGAAAAATTAGTACCCGCCTGCGGGATTCGAACACCGGCGCATCGCTCAACACGAATGCTCCGGACGTCTTATCCTTCAGGCCACGACGACCATATGTCAATAATGTGCCCTCAATTTTGCTCGCAGAATTAGGTCATAAGTAATGACGACCCGCCAATGACTCCTCAAAGACGACCTTACCTTAGATTGTATTCATCATCATCATCATCATCTTAGGCCTTACAGCCCAGGGTGGGCCTTAGCCTGGTTCAGTATGTCTCTTCAGACTGCTCTGTTCAGGGCTTTCTTCTTCCAGTTCCTGACACCGATAACTTTGAGGTCGCGCTCCACGCCATTCAACCATCAGAGTTTGGGTCTGCCACGACTTCTGCGGCCCTCTGGTTTGCCATAGAGCAGTTGTCTCGGCACTCTGGTATTCTCCATTCGAACCACATGTCCTGCCCATCGTAGGCGTCCAATTTTTATAGTTGTTATAAATAAATAAATAAATATTTACTAACAATCACGCCACGTTAACTGGTCCCGTGATAAGTTCGTAAAGAACTTGTGTTACAGGTACCAGATAACGGATATAAATGTAAGATTTTTATTATACACATACATATATTTAATATACATCCATAACCCTGGAAAAGACATTTATATTTATCATACAAATATCTTCCCTTGGCGGGATTCNAACAATCACGCCACGTTAACTGGTCCCGTGATAAGTTCGTAAAGAACTTGTGTTACAGGTACCAGATAACGGATATAAATGTAAGATTTTTATTATACACATACATATATTTAATATACATCCATAACCCTGGAAAAGACATTTATATTTATCATACAAATATCTTCCCTTGGCGGGATTCGAACCCGCGACCCCCTTGTTCAGTAACCATGTCACTTACCACTACACCAGACGGCCGTTAAATTTATGATATTAGGATCTTTGTAAATATCATACAGCTCGTGGTTATAGCGCGTCCTCCATATCTCGTTTTCCTGTTTAGCAGTCGATTGT